GTTTCCCCCCATCTTCTCCTACTATATCAAAGTATCATCCAGCCCATCCTCATATACTGCTCCTCCTGTTTCTACAACATGCTAACTGTCACCAACCGGACAAAATTCACACGCGGATCTACTACCGACTACCCACATCCAATCTCACAGAATAGTAAATGGTAAATGGACCTGTGCTTGTATAGCGCCTTTCTAGTCTTCCGACCACTCAAAGCGCTTTTACACGCTACGTGCCGCAATTCCCCCTTCACACACATTCAGCACAGCGATGGCAAGTCCATCGAACAAGAAAGTTGATCAATTCATACACATTCCACACACCAATGCTTATGCCATCGGGAGCAATTTTGGGGGTTCAGTATCTTTGCTCCCAAGAATACTTCCGACATGTGGGGAGGAGCGGGGAATCGATACCAAACAACCTTCCGCGATTAGTGGACATTACACACCCACCCCAACCAGTATCACCCCACTGCCTTCCTGGAGACCCGGAGGTTAACCCGAAGAACTGAGGTGCAAGAAAGCTTCGCTTATGGGAAAAAGCCTGATCCGCTGCAGCTATTGCTTGTTTAAACAAAGGGGCGTGCTGAGTTGGGTAGCCTGTCCCACTGCTATTATTTATCTTGACTGTTATTTGTCTGTTTTTGTTTTTTTTGTTTGTATTGTGTCATTTTGTTTCTGCTAGATTTGTTAAATTGTTGGTAGCGTGTTCCTTTGTTTGAGTGTATGGTGTGCTGGCAGGTGCAGTGAATGTGAACATGAATTTCCCCCTTGGAGGACAATAAATTGAATGGATTGATTGATTAAAATCAAAGGACTATTTCCAGCTGCTGAATGTACTGTAATGTTATTACTGAAATGTATTAGTAATTAGTTACACTACTAGTTACTGGGGAAAGTAATATTATCACTGTAATATTATTACTATTAATGAGTTACTGCCCAACACTGCTATCCAATGGCTCTTTATCACTAATGAGCAATAGAGCAGACACAAGCGCGGCACCCACCTACTACCTTGTCATTTTCTGTCATCTGCTACTGAATTTCTAGTCCTATCATCACTGTGGGCTGTTTTTCTCTTGTGTGCTCCTTTATTGGTGGAATGAGAAACTGAACACAATTTGGTCAGCAGAAACCCTCTCTGTCTTCAAATATCACTGCAAGACAAAACCTCCACACTGAAAATGCCCTGGTCATCCAATGGTACACTGTAAAAAAGTTTTTTTACAGTAAAAAACTGGCAGTTGTGGTTGCCAGAACTTTACCATAACAAATACAGTAGTAGCACTATTATGATAAAGGGATATTAGTAATGTTGAGTTTTAATCCATATTTTACGTGTTTGCCATCAAAATAAACAGTTATCACATACAGTCATATAAAAATACCATATGAATACCATAACTGTGTTTTTCTGTGCAATTTCTGTAATATAAAAATTCTATTTTATTCCATATAAAGCTGTCATCAGACCTTCAATGCAACACCAGGAAGGATTCAAAACTCCACCATTTTAAAGTACCAGTGATTTAGTGGCATCTAGCAGTAATGTTGCTGCTCGTTTTCCAAGCGTGTAGTAGAAACTACAGTGGCTGTAAAACACTAAAGGTCCTAACATGGCAGTTCAACATGGCAGACTCCACCAGAATAATTCTTATTTTCAGGTATATTATATAATATTCCATCTCCGCCAATAAAGCCTCTTAAATGTTATACACTGGACCTTTAACACAATAAAAAAAAAAAAATTGATGTAATAATGTAAGTTGTTATGTAACTGTACACGTTAGTTAACTAGTTTACAAACTAGTGCAGTGTATTTTATTATGATTCATTAGCTATGGTTAGCAAGTTAGAGCAAGTTGATTTTGATAGTGTACCAAAATGAACTGGAACCACTGGAGGCTACAACAGCACTTGCACAAACTGGGAAATGGTTGTCAGTAATTTAAGTTGGAAGCACATAGGGATTACTGGGCTGAAACCACTGCTATGGTCCTTTCAATCGGGTCTTCTAGGATTCACTGGAGCACAACAAATTCTGTATCGATCATACATTTGTCTTACAAGAACCCATTACAAAATTATTTGTATTAGCAAATGTATTTAATTTGTATGTTTATATCAAGACATTATATTAAAAGAACTTTGATCATTATTTAAAGGGTCATATGGTACTGTACATCATCTACAGTGTAACACAATTCTTAGATTCATTGACATTAATTATATACATATATCATATTCATTCAACAATAAAATACAATAAATCTAAACATCTAAATTAGTACACCTTGATGAACTTCAATTGATATGGTAAGTACCACCACAGGCTTTTATTATTGAACTATTTCAAAAGCTCAAAATTCGACTGACCCTTAACTGACCACATACATTTACCATCATTTGGACTGTTAACATTGCAAAGTTATGTTGACAGGTTAGTCCTTGGTTGACATGTTCCTTGTTGTGATACTTGTTATTGGCCATTAAGATGACTTTAAAATGTAACTGAAACATAATCACACTGGAATTTTGCCATTATAAAATAGCATTTTTGCTGGTTTGAGGACGGAAAAGTGACAAGGGTATTATTCAGAATCAGTTTACAGATGGTAGTGATTGTTAGTGATTGAATTCCTGTCACTCAATCAATAATCAATATAACATTACTTTTATAATGTATCATTATATTATGTATCTTTTATTATACATGAAGTGTTGTAAAATATCAAAAATTATTTTACAGTCCAATTGAAATCCTATAAGTCATCCCTTTTTGCACTGAGAAAAAACTGTCAAATGATATTCAAATGTCCAAGTCCCTGAGTGTACATGCTACTGCACATGACTGGCTGATAGCTGATCTGACAGGCACAGAAGAACAATGTAGACAAGTGAGTAGCTAATAAGTAAAGATGTTTTACAGCTATTCTACTAGCTAATTAGTTTACAGCTAACTGTACAAACTGTTGGCACTGCACTTTAGTTTAATAGCTCATTCAAGAGAAATATGCTTTTGCAAGTTGTGGTCTTTTTTTTTTTGTGTCATCACTGCTGTCTTCTGGCTGCTAGCACCACCATCAGCCAACAATAAACAGTCCCAGGGTACAACTTCTTTTTGTTGATACATTTTAAAAAAGAGAAATTGCTATGAATAATAAAAGACTTGAAAGACCTGAAAATCTGCAATTTATTTTCAAGTGGACTGATTTCAAGCGCTGTTAACAATCAGATCTGTTGTTGAGCATTTAAAAGTATCGACAGGGTTTTGAAGAAAACGTGCTGGTGAGAAGGTCCAAGGTTTCTAAGAGTGTTGGCCAGGTTTCAGGTGTGGTTGTGATTTTTTTAGGTAGGGATATGTGTGGATATAAATGACTGTCTGTGTTAGGCTTTCTAGTTTCGACCTCAAGCCTTTTTCATGCATATCCTTTCACACACATTCACTTAGCTGTGGCAAAGCCCATCGAACAGAACGCATTCATACACATTCACACACCGAGCATCATGGAGCAATTTGGGGTCAATATCTTATCCTGGATATTGCTCAAGGATATGTCGACATGTGGTGGGAGGAGCCGGGGATCGAACCAACAACCATTCGATTAGTGGACAACCTGCTCTGCCTTTGAACCAGAGCTGCCCACTACAGGCATAGCCTTGGCAAAGAGTGTCGGGGAAAAATCCGAAGGTGTGTTCAGGCTTCGTGCACAACCGGGTGATCAGATATGATTAAAGCAGAGGTCAAGCTCCAGGTGAGTGAACTCTGGCTTCATTTGAAAGAGGTGGATAACTTCACTACACCCCTGCTCCATAGCTTTCTCACTAGCTAGGCTACCTAACCTATTTACCGGCATTAAAACAAAGAGGTAAAGTAGTAAAGCCCTCTTGCTTCATTAGCTGTCTGGGTGTGACACTGACCAGTGGTGCGACTCCTTGTACTGAGAAGTATTTTAACTTTTATGCTCATCTAAAAAACGCTAAAAACTGCAATGTGTGGCACAAGAGAGGAGTGGGTGCCAGGTGTGCTGTACCACTAGATAGCAATGGTGTTGCAGGCAACACCCTTTCTAGTGGCTTGTCTCTAAGTAACCAGCCTTATTAGTGTACAAGATTTGGAGGATTCTAAGAATTCCATGGTTTTTGGTTTACTCATTTACTATTCCATACACTTTATACAGTAATCTTCTCTGTATGTAAGATTTTGGACACAGAATATTCAGCATTTTGTGCCTTAACTGAATCCCATGTTGCATTGTGGCAAAAAGTAGTGTACATATGGACATTTTTACATTGTATAGTTGGAAGTTTTGCATTTTACACCTAGAATTTGGACAGTCCAGACACATGTCCAGGATTGTAGCGGAGTGTGTCTGGGTTCTAGAGTTTAGGACGGAGGGATCCGACCACAGGCTTGTTTGAGCAGAACTCTTTCCACCAGGACGGCCGTTCCAGCACCTGGTTGCCCTGCATCACCGTCGACCACAGGTTCTTGTAAAGCTGAGTGAAGGAGACACAAGGAGACGAGTCAAAGGAGAAGGTTTTACGTGCTCACTGTTAAAAAAAAATCAAATCAATTTCTAGTCTTCTGTTCCAGCCCCTGATCTGCAACACAGGCACACGAGTCAGGTGTATCCAACCCTGTTAACGCCCCTATTTGAACTGTCAGTGTCTTGCTCTAAAAATCACATAACTGTGTCCAAGTGCCCCATCTTCTTATTTGCACATGTTTTTGGTTGATTTTTTGCAAAGTTATTATTCTCCAACAGGGGATCAATAAAGGAACATCTATCTTATCTTAAAGTTATTACACCCCTCCCCCGGCAGCGACTGTCAAATCTGACAGTTTTGTGTTCTGCCATTTAGAATTATCATTGTAAACTGTGTATATGCAGTGCTAGGTTTGAAAGCTTGAGATACTTAACAGCAGTACGAATCAGTTAGCAAAAGGACATCTTCTTCATGCCATATTTTGATATAAAAGAGTACACTGAATAATCTAAGTTGTCATCATTACTTCCTGTCCAACCAGACATCAAAAACCTGCAGTCAAACAGCCAGTTGGATCCGCACCAACCACAATTAGAAGCAATGCTGTCATCTTGAGTATACTATAAACATACCACTGACCTTCCAAATGTCATATCCCTTCCAGATTTCAGACCAACACAAACAAAAAGATCTGATAAATTATGGCTTGGAAGGTTTATTTGTATGTGACCGCACATGAACCAGAAGTTTGTTTATGTGGTTACATTTCAGTTAATCTGGGTTAATGAAATTCTGGGGAGTGATGCAGTACAGGATGGTCTGCTGAGAAACTCAAGTTAATTTAACTTTACACTGTTTATATTTTGGATTATTTTGATGGTATTTCTGCTTTATTAAATTGTTGTTGTTATGATGTTTTTGCCAAATGGTGTTGTTGTTACAAGTTTACAGGAAGGGATGTGAGAAGGACATAACACATGACCATGGTCAAGCTGGATTGAGGTATAATTTTGTGTATATTGTGCCAGGATCTCTATTCCTCTCAGTGAAACTACTAATAGTTAGTTCTAATACAAATTTTACTATTAGCTTTATTGTTGTGTAATGTGTTTTTTTTTATTATTTTTTAACTTCATATGTGTTTAAACCATTGACATATAAAAAATGGACTTTGTGTCTCTACTTCCTCCCACTGTGCAAATATGAAGCCAAAATAGCCGGCCACTGCCATCTTTCGCCATTTAGAGCCAGAGTCTGCTAAGTGATCAGGGTTGGCGACGCAGTATCCAAGTCCCGCCCATATGCCTGGCTGACTCAACTGGGAGAAGGGCTCAGCTTTCAATCATGATGTGAAACCCCATTTTTATACCTTCAAATAGGTAATTAAAACCAAAATGCTGATAAAAATGAACACTTACATACATCAGTGTGATTAGAACTACCTAACCAGTTGGTCTTATTTATGCCTACGACAAAAAAGGTTTTTACTGAGGTATAATAATGTGTTTCTATGTCTTTACCTGTCCATCTGCATTGCCAATAGGTGAGTTTAAAATGAAATCAGGAGGTGCAAAAACATCCACTAATGCTACTGCATCATCCTTCAGCTGGAGGAAAAACACAGAGACAGAGAGGATCAGGTTGAGCTTAAAGTCAGAATCTACCAGAGCCATAATTTCATCATTCAGCTTTATGAAGACAGGAAGTGAGGAAGGGAGCTAATTGCAATAAACACTATACAATAGAGTACAATGTAAGTAAGAAATACAATAATGAGGATGGTACATTACACTTTGTTAACTGCATTTATCTGCAAGGCTTTCAATTCATTAATTAACTGCTGAAAGTTCCATTAAGTACTGTCACTGCCTCGCAGGTCTTCTGTAACCCCTTTCTCAAGGCAGGAAAAATACAAAAAAGGACTGTAGTTAAGTTACATATTTGAGATGAAATCAAGAAGACATCATGAGTGTGACTCAGGTCTGACTTGGTAAGGTGGTGGTAAGTACTGTGGCTCCAGCCCCACAGCTCTGCTGACATGGGCCAGCAGAGGGCTGGGATTCATACAATGGGATGACTGGGAACCTTTTGCTCCAAATGCATCAAGAGTACTGTAACTAAATAAATGTTAACAATAGCTTCCAGTTTATTTCAAGGGCAAATAAGAGGGACGTGGACATTAAACAAAGAGTGAGATGAACAGAGAGACACAAAGCCAGATGTCTCTGTACCTGGGAGCAAAGAGTGAGAATGGCCATCTGGACCAACTCTGGGGGCTTCTCTCCACTCAAGTAATTACCTGTACAGGAACAAAACTGTGTCACAAATATCAATACAGCGGAACGTGTTGCCTCGATTTATGTATGCAGTATGTCAAGTACAGTACATACCCTGGTACAGTGTAGCCATGTAGTTGCTGAGGCTCCACAGCCCATAGAGCGCACACAGCTTGCTCAGGACAAGTCTGAGACCAGCTGGTGTGTCCTGATCTGTAGTCAGCTCATGAAACCTCTGGAGGCAGTTATGTTCAATGTAGGCCAAGGCCAGGGAACGGCAGTAGTAAACCTAAATGCACACACACACACACACACACACACACACACAGAGTGGGGACATTGTATTTCTGTTATAAAGTCAGGTGAAAAAGCACAAGTACAACATTAAACCACTATTAGAATTAAAATCTAACCAAGTCTCTCTGCATTTGCAAGAATCCACCGGACCTGAAATGAAAACACAACTATTAGAGCCCAAAAAGAGAGTTGTTTGTTGAGTCTCTTTCCTAGGGTGTCAAACACTGAAGTTGAAAATGAGACTCAACAATCAACTATCTTTCTCTGCTCAGATTGGCTGTTTTCATCCAGGCTGGGTGGATTCTTGCAATGTGCAGATAGTCGTGGTTAGAGCATAAAAACGGACTAAATTACTTTTCCCTGATCTAATAGTTGCAGTCTGTCCCCTGTGGAGTTTTAAAGGTGTTGTTTTTTATTATCTACACTTTACTTTTTCAACTTTTGTACACAGATATAGTATTAATGATGGTCCAAAATGATGTGAAACTGCATACTGCATATAAAAAGTAAAATTTTCCTAAACCCAACTCCCCCCCAATTTTATGCTACTTTGACACAAATGTATACATTTATACTACATGGAGCTCAACCTAAAAATAACCATCATACTGCACATGCACACAATTCTCCTGAGACTGTTAAATTGGCTAAAATGAAGATTATTACACGTCATATTAATGCTCACAAAAACAAGTCAATTAAATTACTACAGCCAGTGACACACTAATTTCCTAGAACCACAGCACACACCCTTCTAACACTGTAACCTCCAGCTTGCGTCTGTGACATGAATAACATGAATAACACCAACCAGATGATGGCAGCCACTTATTTCTGTATATAATCCTGTGGCTAGGAGACACGACATGAAGAAAAAAAATGTTTTATGTCAGAAGTGTAGTGGTTTGTGTGTGTGTGTGTGTTTGTGTGTACCTGGCTGCTGTTACGCGCCTCAAAATCATCCTTTCCTGAGGCCCTCTGCTGTTCTAGTCTTTTCTGGCTCTGCTCCAGCAGGAAACACACCAGCCACTTATAGGCCGCCAGCGGTACTGATATGATGGACAAGGAATACATTTGCGTTGTTATGATATGATATATTTGATATGTACCACAGTCCTTTAAA